AATAAAGAATGTAAAGGACAGAGAAAAAGTTGTTACAGAGCCTTACATGAGTGGCTTTTCCATGTAATTCTTGTTAAAAAAAATAAAATACAATTGATTTTCAAATGTTCAGGTTTCATGGTAGATATGTAAATCAACCAATTCCCAAGGGACCTAAAAGTCTTTTTTTTTCAAACAAAAATTTCAGGTTCTAGATGCAGCAAAATCACATACAGCATACATTTTTCTGATAAAGAATTTCGTGCTGCATATTTCCAGGCATATTGCAAGGGCTTTGATTTTTTTACGTACAAGTTTTTCATGCACAACATTTTTTTCAAGCCCAGAAAAGCCATTCTCTCAAACCATTTTCCCAACTTCAGCCACTCTTCTAATAACCTATAAAATCACTGCAGCTACTTGTGTTTACTGTCACTGATTTTATTGACAATCTCTTTACTTAATATGGACCAGGCTTTTTGCCAAGCATAACACTAATAAATCTATCCTGTACAGTAGAGAGCTGTAGTTCAAGGACATAACCAACTTCAATTTTCATCACTCCCTATTACATCAGACAAACACAAAGGGATTATACATTTGAATAGTTTGCCTTTACTTGAAAAAGTAGAAGATATCCAACAGCGGTAATTTTCAACTGCATGCAATATTTTGAGTCCAGAATATTTTTCCTGCAAATCTTGAATATCATCTGACATTGCTTCTTGACTTCACTGTGCTTAGTTTCCTTCTCGAGTCGGAAAAAATACCCAAGATTGTTGCAAGACTATCCAAGAATGGAATGACCATTACACATTGTTGGGAACATGTGTCCCTCGAGTATAGAATGTACCAGAACAGTCCAGAACAGTATATGATGCATCACTACCTTTAAGCTTGGCGATCGGGTAGCAAGAGTCATAAATTTTTCATGAGCCTCTCATTTACTGTGTCTCTGTCTATGTTTATCTATTGCTGCAGTTTATCTGTGGGCTTATGAATGAAAATTAGTCCCTTTCTCTGCAGTGTTATGCATGTATATATGCATGCTCAGGGCTTGAAATATGTTTGTTTCTGCACTGGTGCAGGTAACATTGAAAACTACCTGCGCCTGACAAATTCTACATGTATATGCACCACTCAGAATTTACAAAGTATCCTTCATAGGAGGTGGCAACAGTCAATGTAGCAAATAAAAATCTACAAAGCCTTAATGTATATATAAACCCAGTACATGGACCAGTGCAGGTTAGATGAAGGAAAACATCAGAAACACCTGGACAGCTCCAATTTTTTACCTGTACTAACCTGCATATACCCAATACGTGGACCAGTGCAGGTTAGGTGTAGGTAGACATCAGAAACACCTGCATAGCTCCAATTCTTTACCTGTACTAACCTGCATATACCCAGTACATGGACCAGTGCAGGTTAGGTGTAGGTAGATATCAGAAACACCTGCATAGCTCCAATTCTTTACCTGTACTAACCTGGCATATGCAAGTGCTATTTCCAGCCCTGGTTAGTCTGTGAAGGACATATCAATATCAACATCTTGCCAATTTGTTCCCTACTCCAATTTCGATACAATCAAGCCCTACCTAATAAAGGAATCTTACAGTATAAATCGGAGCTCCGCTAACAAGCGAACCAAAGTGACGTTTCCAATGCTAATAATCCTCTCAGACATTCCTCCCAACAAATTACATGTAGTGTGATCTGTGGTCTATCAGTATCAGCCCTCAGTTGGACACCCTCCACATCCTGGCTGCCAATTTGCGTAAATACAATCTGGAAATGTTTGACCTGGACAGTCCAACTGAACCCCTGGCCCCACTTCCTGTAGTAGGTTCCCAGGTAAACTCAGGAAAGGGACAAGGAGTCAGGTAACAAATCTTTCTGATGCAGTAATAGTGGAATCACTAAAAGCATAAATAGTAATACTGGTAAGCACTGGGTTCTGACCATTTATGTGACCAATTGATTAAATTAGTGTGGCCTTAGGAAAAACTGTAATTCACTTTCTGTTCAAGGTCTGAGAAAAAGATAAAATGTTCATGGTAGCGACTGGCGCAGAAAAAAGAAAGTCGGTGAATTATTTTTTTAGTCTTAATGGTAATGATAAGTTCGCAGTACAGAAGTGACTGTGAAAACTGTGAACATAAAAGTACCGTGACAAAAAATCAGGAACTACAGAACATGTACTGGGAAGAAATAATGATACAGTACAGAACGAACTCTATACCTTAGCTATAAAGTCAGAGTTCTCAGTCCCCAAGTATGGCCTATCTAAAAGCAATCTCAAAAATGTTCTGCAAATTGTAAGTGGGTATTTCAAGCCCTGAGGGATAAAACACTTCCAGTGATAATGACATCCTGTTGTACATTAGGAAATCCAGATGAACTTGTCAACCACCTTCTAGCTTTAGTATACTTTGTTTTATGAACTACATACTAGTCTTTAGGCCACAGCAAGTAAATTTTATAGATGACATCCTCCGCAGATTCCAAATCTAATGCGAGGGGGGGGGGGCAAAAAAAAAAAAAATAAGGCAGGCCGAAAAAAACAAGGTTTCTACAATTCAAAATTTTTACTCAATCATTGTACTGTCTTCTGGCATGGCAACAGACATCTTTGCACATTTTTCACCACTGTCAGAAGGCAACAAAATTTCTTGTTTTTTTTTTTAAATCAGGCGAAAATTAATGTGCACGCTGATGTCATCCATAAAAATTTCTTGCTGTGGCCTTATCACAAATTCAATGACCTGTACTTTGTAAGAGCATAACTTGTATGTGTACAATAAAAAAGGTCTTTCATTTACGCATTATTCCTGTGATGATCAAAATGCAAGCTTTTAAATCTCTCCAATACAACAAAAGCTAGTCATAAATAATAAATCCATGCTGTGTATTCTATAAATATGAAAATAACTTAATGCAGTCAAGGGTAAACACTACAATATTCAGCTTGGAGACAAAAACCTTCTGACTAAAACATATACAGATGTGACCTGCAGATATTACTTTATTTATTCTGACTTCTGGCATGAGGAAAAGTCATCTACGGTTCAGATTCATATCTATACCCTCTGCTCACAGGCAAATTTCCTATCCACAATTAACATAATTAGTTGTTGTCTGACTTGTTGACATGTAAATTTTAATTAGTCAAAGTCTAGAGGGTCTCTACCTCATTCAATACAACATCCTGCTGACATGATATATAAGACAACTCTGCTAGTTTAGCTGTAACTGCAACCATATGTTGAAATGTCAACTGACCACATCCAAATATACTAGTCTACTACAAAGTACAAATTATGAATAATCATTTTGTGTACAATTCCTATAGCCAAACATGTAGCAAAGGTGATTAATGTCCAGCTGATACAATAAGGAGCTGTAAGAAATATATATTATTATGCCGATGGTAGTGATCAAAGTAACTATTATGTTAGGAAACACAGGCCTGAAAACTACAGATGGAATCCATACAAATGTACCTCTTTTGTATGCCCCTGTGGTTCATCTACTGGGATTTGAAGCTTTTATCTCTGGTACAGGATCAAGCAAGGTTTTCTTCAAAAACAGCATTTGGCTCAAGATGATTTACAATGTAGTGCTCGGCAAAACTCCAAAATAGATATTCTTATGATGATGTAGAGCTTTCAAATTTTAAGCAAAACCTGTGGTTAAATAAATCTTCAAAAACTTTAAGGTTTGACCATCTGTAGCCAAATGAAAGCTCTGCCATGTCCTTTTTTCAAAGTTTTGAATTTGTTTCCATTGTACTATAGCTTCTAAGTCTATGTTGTCTGTATTTCAAGTAATAATGGTATCAAGGACTCAGGGTATACTTTTCTCTCATAATTGTCAAAACATTCTAATCATCTAACCAAATTATGCAAAAAATAAGACCTCATCATCTTAAAACAATTTCTATTTATGATCAAATCTTCATTTGATGAAATACCTTCCCACCTCCCCTAATTTGATGACATATTTCATTCCCAAGAAAACTGGTCCATCCTTTTGTATCGACACTCCATGGTTGGATGTTGTAAGCAGGCTGGTTTCTTGTATCATGGTTTTTGTTCAGATTTCGCAACTTCATTCTCCCCTTGTTACGTAATCAAAATCGTACCAATATACAGTATTTGCTCATTATGGACGTGTCGAAAAAAAGAGTATCCTTTGTGAAAATATTAGTAATGACATACAGATTTAAACAAAACATGCACAGTACTACATGTATGTTTTCTTAACAAATTATACATACATACAGCAGTTTCTATTTAGGTTTCAGGAATACATCATCAGATTCTTGCATTTGACTCTGTTTTATCCATTTTGTAAAATCTGTGTGTCTGTCTCTATACCACTGTTCAATTTGCTATCCTACACAGTATAATTTACCCCCTTAATATACAAAATGAACTATGAAGGGTCGACACTGGTAAATGAACAAAATTGGTTCCCACATTCAAGTACTGACACCTAAACATGATCAACGAGGGCTTGAGCCCCCCAAAACACCTTTGTTCACGAAAAAAATGGAAGAAAAGCCTCCCTGGACATTTTGTATGCAGTGAAATTTCATCCGAATGCACAGGAGTGTGAAATTCAAATGCCGTTTGGTTTAACAAAGGCGGTCTAGCTGCAACAGACAAAACACTGGGAGGGAATTTGCCCAAAAAGACTCGTTTTAGACAAAAGAAAATACGTCAGATTCAGCTCTACACCACCAGATCGGTGGCCAGAAGACCACAGGTCGACAAAATGAGGTTCAGTGATACAAGAAGGCTGCGGAATATATCAGGAGAGTGGACAAAACGCGGCGAATTGTGCATGAGGAAGGGGAAAATGTCAGAGATCCCCCACACAAAACCCTTGGGTCAAGCTGTGTTGGCGAGAAGATCTGCTTGACGTACCCGCAAGGATTTCCCCTCTACGCCCTCAAACTGAGCCGGTCTACACAAATACAACAATCTACCGAATCTACGGTTCATAGACTTTACCTGTGTGTATATCTTGTCATCTCACGGGCACAAAAATATAGAGAAAATCAGCGCTGAAGCCAGTGCACAAATCCGCGACAAAACCTGTGAACCAACATGGCTGCCACTGAGATGCGAAGCTCCGAAATTCATTATGTGCTCGATGTGTGATTGGCCAATCTTGGACGCAACTATTATTCAGGGGTGTTTAGCAAATGACCTAGTAACAGAGAAAAATACTATCTCTATCAAACAACACAGAGTTTAATATATAGATAAACATACTATAAAAAAACTACATTAACATTTTGCAGCTATAAAGAATGACTCCAAAGTAACGCAACTTGCTTGAATTTACATTATAATTGTATCTGCCCCCCTATAAAGTGACGTGTAATGTTCTGGCAATTTTTGTGTGATGACAACAGCGAAAAAAAATCCCACAAAGAAACCAAAAATTTTTTGTACTATAGAATAATCTTGGCTATTAGACTCACCGAAGTCTACCAAATCAAAAGAACTGTCTGTTACATGGCCACGTTCTTAATTCGGGCACATCTCAAAGACACAACACGGCAAAATCATCTCTAGCTGAATGCAATCGTCTTCGGAAACCTTCGGAAGCCCTTAATTACGGTTCGGGAATTTCCGGATCCAAGATGGCTGCGCCCTGTAGAAATGCTCGCGCCTTGGTGACCTGTGAGTGGAAAATGTTACAAATTTCTCGATAGATTTCAATATTGTATACTCTGAGATTATAGACCTATGCTTTAGAGCTTTTACATTTAGCTGCCAGACTTATTCACACCAATATATTTTAACAGGCGCACAATATTAACGTTAGCATAACAGACACTCACTCAAAAGACAGAAACCCCAAGTATATTTGCAAACTAAGACCCCATAATTTGTTTCCTCCCTCACAGGTGTACTTAGATGTTCCTCATGTCACGTCAGAACCCACTGGAAACCAGTTAGGCAGCCATGCATTTTTTCAATGCAGCAAAGAATGAAGACATCCTACAGGACATACAGGTAAGAAATCATACAACACGGTGTATAATAATAAAATTTCCATATCACTCAAGGTACCAACCAACTGTGGGTCGGATTGCCCGAAGGTGATTCAACCCACGCTAGGGCTGGGACCGAGGGTGATGCAGAATACACCATGTTATATTTTGCATATGTCATACCCACTCAAGAAAACCTCCTTTCAATGTGAAATGTATCAGAAGTGGAGAAAATCTAATGTCCCTAACAAAAAAAAATTGTAACATCAATTCCAATGTCTTAATTTAGTATTCAAATTTTCAAAAGCATTGCACATGGGTCAAAATGCATTTGAATTATACTTTGGAACTTTTGGAAGCCACTTAAAGTGATTGAAACCGTATCTCAGACTCTGGTTGTGTTATAGCAAGGACATTATACACAGTGTATAATGTCCTTTTTTTTTTTCTAACCTTTATTTAACCTTGAAAATGTACAGTACAATTTCGTAGCAGTACAAACTCTTCGGCCTAAGCCGTTTTTCAAGAGGTCAACGGGAGGCAGGTCAGGGGTCTTTGCATATTCTTCAGTTCAGTTACAATTCGGCGTATAATTACAATATAAATATATACACAGTAACGTTATACAATAACCAAACACTATCTCTGTTCGTATGACTCATCAGTTTCAAGCATCCAAAAATTCACTTCACAAATTTAGTCCTTGGTTATAGGTAGTGGAAAATGACCGAGGCATAACCATCATTCCTAGTACTGCAATGTTGTTTATAACTTTATTTTAGTGGCTGACTGGTCTTTCTAATATAAGTGTTGTTACAGTTTGTTTCCTCAGACTTGGGTCTCTAAATGACTTTGGCCACAATACCTTTGTGAGGTTGATGTTTTGGACGGAAATAACAATGGCTATTTCTGTTACATTCCAGCACACCATCCATCCAACAAGTACTAACAGATGCAGAAGAGGAACAAAGACCTCTGAAACCTCCAAATAGGGTCGCCTGGCACCCCACAGATGATGTCTACCATATAAGGTATGTCTGCACTTCTCATCATCTCTGCAAGGGGGAGCGTGCCTCCAGACCCCCTAAGATTCAGCGCAGGAGGTGATGTGGTCACATGAGCAGAACGTACTGCATCAGCACTTCGGCAGTATGTACTGCGCCTGTGCAAAACCCAAATTTTTCACAGTTTACGTTGGGATTTTGGTCAACGTTGCATCAGAATTTTGCCTGTTGCAGACAATATTTTTTCCAACATAACATTTGGAAGCTACAGACGGGATGTTAACCTTATATGAGCAAATACGACCTTATATGAGACGTTCTGCCAAAGTGCTACCGAGGTACAATACATTACATGCACAGGCGCAGTACGTTCTGCCAACCTGCTTACTGCACCTGCGTGAAACCTGTAATGTATTACAATGCATATCACTTTGGCAGAACGTCTCATATAAGGTCGTATTCACGTATATGAGGTTAACATCTCGTCTGTAAATAGTCCAAATGTTATGTCAGAAAAGATGTTGTCTGCAAGAAGCGAAAGTCTGATGCAACGTTGACCAAAAATCCAACAAAAACTGTGGAAAGATTAGGGTTTCATTCAGGCGTAGTACATTCTGCCAACGTGCTAGTCACATAGAATTGCATATAACAAATGAATTTCAGGCTGGCTAGAACACTGTAGCCTGGGTACCATCCTACTTGTATGCTGGGGCTCCCTAGCCTGGTTCCCAAACCTATTATAGCTCCCGAGTCCTACATCCTCTCTGCAAATAGAGAGAGAGGATGCGGAGAGGATGTAGGACTCGGGAGCTATAATAGGTTTGGTAACCAGGCTAGGGAGCCCCAGCATACAAGTAGGATGGTACCCAGGCTAAGAACACTGGGGTAGGCTACAGTGTTTTGAGACTGTACTAAAGCTAAAAAGCCTGGCATCTAGGCTAGAATTTGGCCCCCTGCCATACAAATACAGTTGTATGTCCCTGTGTCTTCAGTCTCTGAAGCTGCAGTTGTTGCTGAGGTACTGAAATCCATCATGGGATTAGCACTGACATCTCTGGCGGAGTCCTGTGGGGATAAAACGTGGATTAGCATGCTTTTAACCAGCTTACCAGCGCTAATCTGCAGACTCTGATTTCAGAAAACCATTGATGGGAGGATCATCGTGTTTTGGGGCAATTTCTGAGTTATAATTGTGCTGTAACAGTTGCAAATGCTACTTGTGTGATTGTTACATTGTGCAAGAGAATATATAACAACAAGAGAATATATATGGTTTTAAGGTATAAAGTGTATAATTCTTTAAGTTTTAAAGTAAGTAAATGACTTCCTCAGAAAAGAGTGGGAAGAATTCTAATAATGAAATTTTAAAAATTCTAATAAACATTATGATAATATAATAATGAATAATAACTGTTAACAGTTTGAAGAATTTTGATGAAGCAAATAGTATCACAACTTCATGAATGTAAAAGTCCAAGTCATGAACTAGTGAGGGTTTGCTTAGGGGTAAATGCTCTGCCATTCAACCATGTGATACACAATGTACAAAGAATTTTCTAACGCTTAAAAATGATAACAATTAAGCAAGTAACATGCTACTTGGAATTGAAGTGACCAGTTAAGCTTCACAGAGAATTTCCTAACAATTCTTAAAATTGAATTGAAGTGGCCAGCTTATTTTTTTTTAAGATTAACACTGAATCAAAATAGTTCGCTATGCCTCACAGAAAAGGCATACAAACCCTCATTAATGTCTACAGTCTAAACTTTGGTTTTGAATACACATGCACATGTACATGTACATCGGGAACATTACAGTGCAGAACTATAATTGTATGATATGAAATGATATATATGATTTGGCAGGTATTATCCCTGGTATCCCAGCCCACTGGAGGAGTGTCTACAACAGATGAGGAAAGCTGCAGAGTTGGAGTTCAGACAGCCTGACATCTGGGTACAGATCAGTCTGGAACTGGACACCAAGCTGCAGAAAAAGGTGAGGACAATTCCCACCCCCCTCTAGGGGGAAATGGATAGACATTCAGGGCTCAAAATACTCTTTTCTAATCTCCAAGCAGATCTTTGGGTGGTAATATCCAATATGCCACTGTCTGGCAAATGGATACTGCCTGGCCAATTTGGTATGGTTTTTGCAGCCACCCAAAGATTTGCTTTGAGATTAAGTCTTTTCTGTATACTTGCACTGATGAAGGTAACACTGAAAATTACTTGCACTAGACAATTTTTACATGCACCACTCAGAATTTATGAAGTGTGGATTATACTAAAAGTAAAACTGTTCAGATGTCATTACCATAATTTTTTTTAAATTTTATGTTATCACAGGTAATAACAGTCAAGGTAGGAAATAAAAATCCACATCCATGTCCATATAGTTTATGATATAAACCCAGGACTTTAACTAAACTGAAATATTGTTACTCCTGTTCCATACAGAAAAAGGTGGAGCCATTTATTGGAAGTGTCCACCTCCCCCACACTATTACTGAGCCCAAGAAGATACTGGTGTTTGCAACAGTGAGTAATGGTCTATGAATAATTTCATTAGGTTGGCAAGAGGCTGTATAAAAAGGTTTTCACGTCAAATGTTTCATATCCAATTAACCTCCAGCAGCAAGGGCTTGTGTAAAAACAGGCTAGAGCGAAATTGAACATACTTTGTGCTACATGTACTTGTGATCTACATGTACTTTGTTTTTACTTCATGTTTTAAATCATTTCATTCAATTTCATCCCATCTCGCTTTATTTCACACTTTCTGTACACCATTACCTTGTGCTCAGCTCAGATGCTCTCTTTTCCCCCAGGATCCTGATGATATTGAAGAAGCCAAGAAGTGTGGTGCTCACATTGTTGGGGGCCCGGAGCTCATCCAAGAGGTCTTTATTATACCCATGGGATTGTCCTATTTCTGGCAAATCTGGCAGTTTTGTTCTGAATCCTTAAAATCTATCCTTGACCTTGTATATGAATGTAGAAAGTTATTGGTCAATCTCTATAATAATTAAAAATCATAAGCTTTGCTAGAGTGCAATTTGTGAAGAATCTAACCCCAAGAAGAGGAATTGACATTTTACAGTATATTTATCAATCAGCTTGAAGATATATAAAATATAGTCAACAAAACACATGCAGGCTGGTACGATGGCCAAGTGGGTAGAGTGTTTGCCTTGCATTCGGTAGGTTGTGAATTCACTCCCCGGTCAAGTCATACCAAAGACTTCAAAACACTGTGCGCCACACTGCTTTCTATGCTTAGCACTCAGCATTTAGGAAAGAGCATGATACTTAAACTACCAGTGTACTAGGCCCCTATTCAGTAGTCATTTCACAACAACGTGGCCCAAGGGCTATTGAACCAGAGATGGCACTGTCTGGTGCAGGAAGGACTTAAACTAACTAATAAAAGTCACATCTACTATCATGAACGTTCATCTGTTTTGGTAGTTACATGTTTAAAGTTAAAACTTTTGGCCCAACACAAAAAATTCTCTCACCTAGAGCTTTTGACCCGTCACTCTGGTCTTCCTAAGTAGACTGACCCAGTGAGGCTTGTCACGTGGCTTCTTTGAAGTGTGTCGTCAACACTGGGTCAAAGGTATCTGGTAGACGATGTTGGCCCCTGTTGCGGTTAAGTGAAAGGTGGTGGGCCCTGATGTAAATAGCCTCCTTCGCCACTCTTAGGAAATAGTCTTGTTCAGTGTCCAAAATCCTTAGAGGCACATTTTTTGTCCATGTTTTCTCTTGACAGATCCTACAGGACAAACTTGAGTTTGACTACTGTGTGTCAGTCCCCTCTCTTACCCAAGACCTCCAAGTCCTCAAGAAGAAGCTTCAGAAAAAGTTTCCCAAGAAAAAGAGAAGTAAGTTACATTAAAAACATTTGTTACAGTAGATTATGTTGTTGAAGATACTTTATATATTTCTTCTTTTTCCTGAGTGGCTATCTATAACAGTACCTACTAATAGTTTACACGCATTATTATAGATAGAGAATTGCACGGCTTTTCCATGCATTTTAATCAAGACATGAGCAGCTTTTAATTATGTTTTTCACATTCTTTTTTTGCAATTTTCAGGCGTATACATGAGAAGTTATCTGAGTTATCTATTGTGTATTTCAGTGTCATTGTTGTCATAAACATTAATACATGTACATGTTTTACCTTTCAAAAACAGTCACTGATTGATGAATGTTCTACTACATGTCTGTCTCTGTGTTCTGTAGACACAGTTGGACATGACATCTCCTACATGGTTGACCTGTGGAGTAGAGGTCAGAAATATGCCGCCCTCACCTACAACCACCCTAAACAGGAGGGGAAGGGTCATGTCAATGTCATCATCGGGAGGGTGAGTAGTGTGTTTCAGCTGTTTATTTCTTATGTTTACCGAAGGAAAACATATTGATTTTACTCAGTTTCTTCCTCCTTTTCTGTTCCAAACACTAACCTCTGACCTGGCCAATAACATGATTTGTTGACGTCTGTCACCATGGTGACTGGTGTTGGGTTACATAATGTTGCAATTTCATGGTCTGCTCTACTCCTGTCACCATATACTCGTAATACATGTATGTGAATGTGTTTGAGTAAAAATTACCAGGGCAGACCATGTCCAAAGCTAAACATTATACATTTGCTTTGCAAATGTTACTTCTCTAGTTTATTGAGATTTACCACATACATATGTGGAAGAAATGACAGAATGGGTGACTATCACCTTTTTGAGATGTCAACCCAGAGACCAGACTGTAAGGTTTGAGCCCCTGCTCTTTTTTGATAAGTGTGATGGGATCTTTTAACATGCTCAAGGTGTGGCTCTCCTCAAACACAGTGCCTTCAGTTTTATGTCCTATCCGAGAGGATGTCCCTAACCAAAGGTAGGTACTCATTTTTGAGTGAGAAAATACCGGGTTAGGCCACACCAATTTAATTTCTTGGTTAACGGATTTTTCTAGAAAAATAATGGAGCGGGCAGGCGAAAAAAATAAAATAAAAACAGGCCTAGGCATCCTATTATGGCCCAAAATGGTACGAAAGGAGCCATGAAGTCAACACACCAGGCTGGTTCAAAATTTAAACAATGAATTTTGACATTTTAATGATACCATTGCATTGAAAGATGGAATAACTGTAACAACTAGGATGAAAAGAACCATTTTCAACTGTGCAGGGCAAAATATGAGCATTTTGCAGTTGATTCTGAATTTTTATTTTTATTTGCAAATCAGAAAAAAATGAAGCGGGCGAATCCGTTAACCAAGAAATTAAATTGGTGTGGCCTTAGTGCCTTTCCCAAAATCACAACACTGAGGCTTGCCGGGGATTCAAACCCAGAACCTTCAAGTTTTAAGTCAGCAACCTTAACCTCAAGAACACCTTGCCTTTTATCCTTTTTTTTTTTACGTACATTCCTGCTAGTTTTGTCAGTGGGTCTGAAAGGGTTGCAAAGTAGTGTGGATGAGGGGGTGAAGTCCGCCATCTCTGATTGCCTTGTTTTCTTCTCCAGCTGGACATGACAGATGAACAGCTGACTGAGAACATTGACTGTATGATCAAGGCTGTCTGCTCACACAAGCCTCTCAGCTTCGGTATGTTCGCTTCTGTCTGTATCTGTATACCCAGTATAACCGCCTTTCGGCGTAACATACCACGCGGCGCGGCGGCAGCTGGCTATATTATGCCAATCAACTTGTTACACGTAGCCCTTGGACATCTAACTCTAGACATTGTTTAAAGCTATCTAATGACAATGCCCCTTCTGTACTTGGTGACAGCGAGTTCCAATCTGTGATACTTGAAGGAAAGAATGAATTCTTGAACACCTCAATCCTTGGTTGATAACTCTGGTACTTGAAGGCATGGCTATTTCTTGTTCTCTTCTGGGCTGGTATTAGGTACTTAGTGATTGGGACGTCCACCAGTTTATTAGTCATTTTAAACAACTGTCCTTTCGAAACAACAATGCCAGGGTTCTAGCTAGCCTGAAATTTTTTCCATCATCTTACTTTTGTTTGATGTAACATCATGTCAATCAGTGAAGGCATGCACATTTCTGGGTGCTCCCCCAGGACAATGTTGAAATAATGGTTTGAAACTATGGTTTGTTTCAGACAAAAAAAAGTTGTAATTATCTTGTTTTTTTTTTTTCTCTTTACAGGTCCGTTTGTGACAAGAGGCTTGGTACATGCAAAAGGAACCCCGTCATACAAGTTCCAAGTAGAACCGTTCCTTCCTGAAGAACCAAAAGATGATATGTTTGAATAAAAACTAAACTTTAAGTTGTAGTTGATTGGCTAGAAGGGGTATGTATAGTACAAGTAGGTTTTTACATCCAACGTTTTGTGACTGTCACCTTCTTCAGGACAACAATGACTGATCATGATTAGTACTGCAGCTAGGTGTCGTTGCTGCAATATGCGGTCAAAAAAGGAAGAGTGTTGTCCCATAATGTATTCTTATTGTCAAGTACAGTAATAATGAAACAAGACACTGTTACTTCTTGAGAATGCTGTTACCAAGTCTGTATCCCCCCTCATCACAGGAAAATCATAACTTTGATTATCTGTGTGTTCAAAATGTGCTTTCAATTGCTTTGTCCTATGATTTGGAGAAGAAAATCGTGGGGAAATAAAATTTATCCAGCCAGAGTTTAGTGAAAGAAAAAATATTATTTGCAAGGCAGGATGACACACACTACATGTAGTTTACCAATAGGAACACTTTCTTTATTAGCAGCAAAAACACTGAGACAGTCCTGGTGGTTCATATGAACCACTCATGACCATGAAGGTGATACTTGTGTACAGTTTGACTATCATCCTCTATGCATGGGTACATACTTTTACTCAAATAGCACTGGTACACTGGTGAAACCTTCAACACTTACTTTTATAGTTGAAGTATCCTGTCTTTTGGCCATCTCAGTACATCATTCACTTTTGCATAATGTAAATACAGCCATGATATTAGAAGTTACTAGTAACATAAACTTTATATCATGGTGCCTATGCTTTCAGCTATGCGTCACGTGTGTTGGCAACCGTCTGACTCATAAGATTAAAATCAAGATTCCAAATATAACACATAGATGACACAACTATAAATACAAGACTATGATTCAATAAAGCTATGTACAAATACAACATCAACTATAAGACTATATGAAACATTTCAGAACTACACACTGTATACACATATACCTATCATAAACTGTCCTCAGCAATAAATAAGGTACCTGAATGCAGAGATACACATGTGCCCATAGGAACAAATTGCATTCTCTGTGACATGACATGACATGACAAGCACTCCCCCTTACTGGTCAAGGCAGCATTGCAGTTATATCTCATAGTTCCTGAATTTCCGGAGTGTCTCATTTGGCGACTGGCTGGACCAGCATCCTCCTCTAGACCAGGCTGAGGTAGAAAATGAAAAATAAATGTACATATAGGCATACAATGGCCGAGTGGCTAGGCAAGTGGACACAAGATCAAGAAGTCACGGGTTCGATTCCTGGCTGGACGTTGTGTCCTTGGGAAAGGCACTATACACAACTTTCCTCACTCCACCCAGGTGTAAAATGGGTACCTAACTTTGGTTGGGGAGGTAAAAGGTGGTGAAAGGATAGGCACTGCCTTGCAATACCATCCCCTAGACAGTGGATTAACTGTAGCTTTTAAAGGGGATTCCACTGGTGGCCTAACAAAGGGCTACAGAACCACCTACCAGTTCACAATCAACTGTGATACATACCTATGGATGAACCCTGTCCTGAAGTTGACTCTGCAAAAACTCGTAGTCTCTTGCTGGGAGACTGATGCTCTTGTGAGTGAGTAGCACCTCTTTCAGACTCTACATCAGTATATGGTAAAATATGCATACGTCATGAGAATTAAATATACGTTCAATAAAATATGTAATAACATTGACAAAATGTTTACCATCACATGGTGTAGCCTAATAATCTACTTGTCTGTTTATTCTCATTACTTGAACACATTCATGTACATGTACAAATGTATATATTGACCAGCCCCTCCAACTTTGTCCTGCCCCCTGCTGCATAATGTATCCAACACCACAGGAAGTCTTCTATAACACTAGTTACTATGGTGACAGCCATCTGGTCGAGGTCATTGACCTTATGTGTTTGGAGAGGAAGAAACAGAGAAAAACAATGTGCTGTCATTCTGCAAAGGTTACAATCAGAAAAGACAAGGTCAGTTACAAAATATGTGCAGAGGCGTTCTACCTTTTGATTGGCCTGCGGGTTTTGAGACCCCTTCCTCTGATTGGCTGATTGCATCTTCATCTCCATCTTCTGATTGGTCAGTGTGAGGCTTGTTATCCAGCATGGGATCCTTCTTAGTCTTCATAGCCCAGTGCATAGACTACACAAGGTATGGAGCATGAGCCAACAATTCTTAACATTTCTTTCAACTTGTTTGCTAGATACATGAATACTGTTTTCTCTAGATTTTTAGCCTAGAAAAGCTTGGGGAGATTTTGAATACTACATGTCTATCATGAATAATCTGTTTCTATCAATGTCAAATTGGTAACATTCGCAGTTGAATTATGTACATGTATTTGAATCATTTTCCACTACATTAGTTGCATACTGTCCACATTTCTCCCAAGAACAGGCAGTTTTTTTGTATTGTTGTTTCCTCTATTTGTAAAGGGTATACACTTATCTTACATACTGTTGAACATTCAGGTTAAAGTCATTATGGTAAAGGCATTGCAAAAGTTTGACTTTTACTGATACACTGGTATTGAACATGAAAAAGTAATGCTTGATAGGACTGTGGAGTGAAATGTGTGCTACCTTGGTCCTGGTTGATACAAGCCCATAGATAATTATGACAGTAAAGATGGTAAAGTAGATAAAGACTGTAACTCACAGTATGTACAGACTTGCCCATAGCCACCCACTGTTTGTACGGCATGGCGATCCCACTCAGGCGCCAGTGGTCATACTTGGCCCGACTCTCTTCATTGATCAGAACGTCCCTCGCCTGCTGAAGTCTTTGATATCTTTCAGCTACCATATCATTATGGACATCATAGAAGTCTTTTAAAAAGATAGCATGAACCCAATGACAATGAAATATGACAGTTTCTGAAAATGGTCAAATGCATCGCAAGAAACAAAGAAGTTTGGACAAAACATACACTCTTCTGATGTTAGGAAACATCAAATCTTGCAAAGCACCCTTCCAGTTCTTAATTTCTGCAGCCAGTTACTGAGTAATTGAATGCAGTAAATTCTGATTTTTTTAATGGTACTTTATATTTGCAGTTTTTGCAGTCACTTCTGTACTGCGAACTTATAATTACGGTTACAAATAATTCGCCGACTTTTTTTTCTGCACCTGCTGCTGAACATTTCTTCAAACATGATGAAGTGAATTACAGTAACTTCCAAATTCCAAGACTCAGTGTCTTTCCAGATTTGAAAAGTATCTCACCTGCTTCTGGGTCATTTGGCTTCTTGTCAGGGTGACAGTCAAGGGCCTTCAACTTGAACTCCTGATTAATCTGCTCAGTCTGAAAATGGCAACATCAGTACTTGTCAGTCACATAACAGTCAGTCATGATAGTTAAGCTACTTTACTGAAATGGGGCTGTCAGGTAACTGATGAATAGTTGCTGACAGTCACATATTATTACTGGTGGTTTGCTTTAGGAACTTAAAGATTCAGGGCTTCCAATGCTCTAGTATTCACCATTTACACATGTATTTTGGATTTTAAAAAAATGTATCACACATTCATACTGCATGCATTCTAACAACAAAAAATTAATAAAATGGCTTGCTATGCCTCACAGAAAAAGGCATGTAGACCCTCTCTTTAACCTACCGTTGACTGTTCATCACATCCCAGTATCTTGTACAAGTCCTCATCCTGATCCTTCTTGTAGCTGAAGATGGACTCCATTGACACCTGTGGTCACACCTGGTTCATAGGAAATACATGTACATGTACAATGTATCACTGGTTATCTTGAAAGGTCATCTGAGTTGGTAGAAGTCATTACAAAGCAATTACGGAATATGATTTCTGCACCTGGAGAGAAGTAGGACTCAGGCAGGGAAATAAAGTCTCGTAGGAAGCCCACGTTTAACTGTTCAGGCATAACGTCGTCCATGTCAAGGAATGAGCAATGCACCACTTGCGTGATGCACGTTAAAGTGGATCATAGCAGGAAGCTTTCATCATCCTTGATCATAGGTTGCAGGAAGTCTATCTTTGTTGAGTAATGGTTGTAATGCCCTGATATAGATGGCCTTGTGCAAATATTCTAGTGAAATGTCCAAGATTTTTCAAAAAACAATTATGTCACTTGCATAACGTGACATCACAGAAGCAGTGTATTGCTCTCATTTCTTGACAAAGACCAGGCTGTCAACATGCAGTGAATTGTCCAATATAAAGACAGGAAAAGAGCAACCAATGCAGAATAATGCTAAACCATACCAGATTTCCAGATGTACTGCAGTAGAAAAAATATTGTATGGGGGCCCACAAGCCCTTTTCCGTAGAGCGTAATCGGCCGTTTTAATTCTACGTAGAGCGTAGACGGACCGCTCCTATATTTTTGCATAGAGCGTATTCGCCGTTTTAATTCTACGTAATGCGTTGTAGCCACTTGGAATTTATCGTAAAGCGTAATCGAGAGGTTTCCGAATACAGCGTAGAGCGTTATTGGGACCCCCCTGCAGGCCCTCTTGTATATTCCTAGTGTTATATATGCTTGATGCTGCTATAGAGATGACCACACTCGACCACGGCTTGGGGCAGACTGATGTGCAGGGACAGAGGTCCCTGTCCTTTATTGATACCAGATGTGACACCACATGTGTACAAGTCCTACCTCCTACACTGGCCCCCCTTCACAAAAGGTGTCGTCCTCGACACATAAATATACTGAGGGGCAGAAAAACAAAAACAACTAAAAAACAACTAACAGCAAACTACATCAAACAAATGCTACAGTGGCTAAACGCTAATCTATAACTAAAAGTGTTACCGCTGTAATAATAATGGCCACCGGAAAAACAACAATGATAATGGGTTTGAAATTGGGTCCATAAAGTAACAGGATGCTATTAATTAACTTGGCCAACAAAAAGCAGATGTGCACATGGTCTTTGGAATTTGATGGTAAGGGTAAGACGGACCGCTGCTATACAGTACATGTGGAGCACAATAATAAACGAACAGGCATAAACAATTCACATACAAAATAGCACATAATTTTGAACTTGCACAGCGGCAAAGTTCGCATTTCCTCGCGTACTCCCTAGCGTGGGGCAGTATGGGGACTTCCGGACCGTCACACAGCGACAGTGTGATCCGGGAACGCAAAAAATACATGATCTTCCTAGCAGAGTCGTCCCGTAGGCTAGCGTTTCTACTAGACAAGCATCATTCGCAAGAAACACAAATTTAAAACACAAAGGCTAATACATGATCTTCCTAGCAGGGTCGTCCCGTAGGCAAGCATTTCTACTAGGCAAGCATCATTTGCAAGTAACACAACATAGGCTCAAGGCGGCTTGGTCGCTTCCCGTAGGCGTGCGAGCAAGGGCAAACATAGAAAACAAAACATATTGTGCAACAAGTCAACACCACAAGAGTTCATAGGTCTTAGAAAGTTCTGTGGGTAGAGATACAGTAATCAGAGTTCGCAGCAAAGATCAAGCAGGTCACGTCATGTTAGAAAGTCAGTTCCTACTCATGATGGGGTCGGTTGTCTGCGACACGAGGGCTGCCTGGAGTCAGCGGGCTGGATTCCGCGGGCGGTCGGGACGCGGCGACGTGGCACAGGCTGCTCGGGCTGGAAGGTGACGGCATGGCACGGTCTTGACGGTCTTGGGCAGGGTTGCATGGCTGAGACAAATGGCAGGTTCACGGCAGGCCTGGTGCACGGGAGCACGGCTGGGTAGAAAAGAGGTCGTGGCACGCAGCGACAGCGTCGACGGATTCTTAGTCGGTGTGGCCGGATACAGAGCGGCGGTCTGGCGTGTCGGGCGGCATGGCGGCTGTCAGGGGTCGAGTCGGTGTGGCCGGGTAGCTGGCTGGCGGATCGGGCAGCATGGTAACGATGGCAGCGGTCGATCCCTGCTTAGCCGAGGTCAGGGATGCTAGCTAGTCGGGCGGCATCGTCGGTATGGCGTGGGTTGAGCGCTCGAAAGCGCTGTCCGCTGCCACCAGTGTTATATATGCTTGATGCTGCTATAGAGATGACCACACTCGACCACGGCTTGGGGCAGACTGATGTGCAGGGACAGAGGTCCCTGTCCTTTATTGATACCAGATGTGACACCACATGTGTACAAGTCCTACCTCCTACACTAGAACAACCTTGCACAATTTGTGCTTGAGATGTATGCCTGTTCAGTGTATTAAAAACAAATCATGTAACATATTGTTTTGGGAATCCATAGTTATTTGAATTCATTTACCAGGCTACCAGCAACCCATGGCCCATTCTCTGTAATACAGTCAGAGTACAACATGCAACAATGGCCAGTTGGCCACACAGCTAAATGGACAAGGACAGACAATATCCCAGTACTTTGTGGCCGTGACGTCACTACCTTGCCCTCAAGCTTAACGCAGTGTCAAGGTCCCGACATGCATAATTACGGAGGTGTCCCTTAATGAAAGTCAAGGTTGGAATCCAGAGTCTGCATGGATTTTGTTTCATGCATTTAATTGTACCGTGGCGTAGCAAAATTAGCGTGCCCTTCGTCAAGGATCATGACATATGTACCCTTGCGACAAGGAACGTCACACAAGACGTGAGTAACAGTCACCTGTAAGGCAGCGCACGTACTGCACGTGATTCAGCTGTAAGACGTGATTCACCTGTCCTGTTGTTTACACCCCCCAAACCCGGAAGTGGTACCTGCCGAATATCCCACCATGCAGTGCGCGGGCAGGAGGAAATTTAACTTCCACCATGGCGGAGGATAGCGAAATTTCACCAACCTCTCCCCAAAAACGGGCCCGGCTGTCTTCAGACGAAGGCCTGACCCCCGAAGTGGAAGTGGGTGGCTTCCAAAAGGTCCCACATACAATCTGGAACGGAACGGGCGCGATAGGTGAGCAATAGGCCTCAATTTCTCGATTTTTCCGCGGCGGATTCATGGAATTTTTCAACTGACAGAAGATCGCGTACGCATGACGACGCCCTATTTGATGACGTATGTCCCGGAATGCGGTTGCCACGGACTCGGCTCAAACCTTGTGGTTCCCTTATAAAGTGAAAATTGGCCCGTTTTCTGTGTTTTTGTTATGATTCTGCCATATTTGACGCCGTAGTTACCCACTTTCGGTGATATAATATATGCAAATCTGCTTTGCTTGGCGTCCCCTATCCCAGAGTCCCTTGTGTTGGTGGCGGGAAATTTAAAGGGCTTTCGTGTTTTCCTCATCGCGCGTTTTACCAACCCAGAACCGACATTTAAGGACTTTTACGAATTTTAACAGACTAAATCGTTTATATCCTTGTGTGCCAGAGCTTTTAATTGCTTACTTATCAATTCTATTTTCTGTTTCCTCATCATATACCATCTCTCATCATGTATAGATAACTTACATTTTTGACTTTGATTTGAAAATTATAATTATCTTTTCAACGTTACCTGCACCAATGCAGTATTTCGAGCCCTACTCAAGCATGTTACATTTGGCCTCAGTAGTCAACAGGTGTGCCCTTTTGGAGCATAACTTAACTCAAAATCCTTTATTTGTGGCAAGAGGACTTATTTTTGACATTGTGCATTACAGATGTAGGGACCCCAACTCCACCCTATGATGACTCCTGGAGTAATTATGACTGTACACCTGGGTCGACTGATGACCACAGTCTGCTCAATGGTAGGTCTTTTCCCAATACACTTTGAATAACTGTTAGTATATCATGCAGGAAGGTAGTCAATTTTTTTTTGTGGCCTGTAGAACCACATGTCACACTTGTATCTGCAACCTTCTCCTTCGAATTATACGTTACATCGGGAGAATGTAACGTTACTGCACCTGGGTAAAATCAAGAACATAATGTGCATAGCAGTATCATTAAAAGTCATGTTCATGTATTCAAGGATGATATCCCTTCTGTAGCTTTGAAATGTTCCGTCAAAAAAGTTATAATCAGATCAACAGACAAACTTCTGATGCAATGTTGACCAAACAGCCAACAGAAAACATGGTTTTATGCAGGTGCACTGTGTTCTACCGACATTATACAGAGTGTATTTCTATGTAATTCTGGGCTTGTATAGAGTTTTCACACATTTAAGAAAATCCATGCTCAAAATGAAAATGATATATTTTTAAAGGCTTCCACCACACCAATGGCTTTGGTGACCACGGCAATGATTTTGACTACACCAACGGCTGGGCCCACGACGACAGTGACCACCCTGACCCTGACCTGAGCCAACATGACCTTGAGGGGCACCATGAACTAGCTGACCTGTCGGGTGACCCCAGTCTGAACTGTCTGCTGGGGGAGACCGGTGGAGAGGGACAGAGTACAGAGAACCAGGCAGACAGTGATGCAGAGTCAGCCAGTAGTGTGTCCAGCGCCAGTACAGGGGACTGGCAGGCCACCAGTATATCAGGTAAAACCTATGCTGTTTAATTGCTATATGTAAATCTAGAATACCAGCCTGACCATAGATTGGATCGCGGAAAGACTGAAGCAAGGGCCGGGACAGAGTGTGATGCTGGATGCAGTACACGTGTATTTTATATATGTCATACCCACCTGAGAAACAGAAATGGAGAAAATTTGGTGTCCCTAACTTAGGACATTTCCAGAATTCGGTATTCAAATTTTTGAAAGTAGCCCACAAGGTGCGTGAAAGGTGTTTGAATTATTCTTTGGAAACCAGTCAGATAACTGTTAGAATCCCTGATACTAGTAACTAGTGGGTTATCACACTGTTTCGAACACCAGTATCAGACGCGATCACGGCCCAGGAATGACATAAAATATGCTATGACCAGTGTGATGAAAGAATACGCCACACACAATACAGGAATAAGAAAAAAATAACAGTAATTCAAAAAAGAAAAAAATGGGGACCAGGAAAAGGTAGTTATTATGGCCATTTGGCTATCTGAAAGAATTGGCCGCTTGGGCAGGTTTGACTGTCATTTAATGCTAATGATTGGTTGGTGTTCCCCAGGTCCCATGCAGTGGGTACAGCACCAGATGACCATGGGGATCAACCCTCGGACCATCCTCCAGGAGCTCCTGCCACCCAGCATGGTCCTCCCCTCCGATCTGGACTCCCTCACCCTGTGGAAACTGGTGGTCAACATCCTGACAGAACCGCCAAAGAGGGAGAAACTTCCCAGCGTCAACACTCTGCAGGACGTCGTCAGGCTGATTCACGGGAGCAAGAACATTGTTGTGCTGACTGGTGCAGGGGTAGGTGTTGGTCCTGTGAACATGCAGTACAGATCTCAAATAACTTTCCATCTGCACACAACCAACAGTGCAAAATGTGATTCAAAGCAGTGCGTTTCATGATTAAATTAGATTATTAGTGCACACTGTTTGCATTGCGTTTACACAAGTTTTAACTATGTATTGCACAGCGTTTACATCACTTTCAGGGTTCACAATCTATCATCCTTTCTGCAGGTTTCTGTCTCCTGTGGCATTCCAGATTTCCGGTCACGGGACGGAATCTACGCCAAACTTGCCGTGGACTTTCCTGACCTGCCCGATCCTCAAGCCATGTTTGACATTGACTACTTCAGAAAAAACCCTCGGCCTTTCTTCAAGTTTGCAAAGGTATGCCTGACTGGCCTTGACATTCGAAATACATTTTGTACAAAAGTGCATTTTCCAAGGCGCAACGTCTACCCAGGAATGCAAGAAATTGATCCTATGAGTATGACCTCTCAGTCTCGTGTCCACTAGCCATTTGATGCTGCAGAGGACATATTCTATGTTATTTGTAGAAAATTGAATGATGAACTCTCCAGTACAATGTATAAGCCCTCAAAAAGAGTCAACTAACAGATTTTGTTTCCTGGTCTTCCAAGGCCATCTACCCCGGCCAGTACACGCCGTCTCGGTGCCACAGGTTCATCAGGCAGTTGGAGGAGCAGGGCAAGCTGCTGAGGAACTACACTCAAAACATAGACACCCTGGAGCAGGAGGCTGGTATACAGAGGATCATACAGTGTCACGGTAGGTATAGAATGACGATGATAACTGTTAATTATGTTTACGAAGGAAAACATATTGTTTTTACTACGTTTCTTCTTCTTCCATTCCAAACACGGACCCCTGACCTGGCCAATGACTTGATTTGTTATCATCTCTCACCATGGTAACTGGTGTTGGGTTACATAATGTTGCAATTTTATAGTAAGAGGGATTTATACTCCTGTCTGACCATATATATACAGTGTTCGAAATACCTGCCTGCAGTCTGCAATCTGCAGATAGATTTTCAAGATTGCAGAAGAAAAAAATATACAATCTGCAATTTTGCAGAAGGAAAAATAGGCTCCAGATTCATTAGTTTTCAATTTAGCAAACTAAAACTTCCAGGCCCCAGGGACAGACTGTTCTGAAACAACAGGAGCTTCTTCACTAATTTGCATCATCCTTGTCTTGACTTGTCTATCTTTTGTTTCCTTTTGGACTTCCAAAAAATTGTCTTCACTAATTTGCATATTAATCCATAGTTTATGCTTATAAACCTGAAATTCTCCTGCAGTCCAGTAATGCTACTGTACAGATTTACAAAGCTATATGTGATGTAAAAAAGGAATTATTGGTTTGAGAAGGTTGTAGTATGGAGGCTTGTGTATTTGCAGAAAAGTTGTAATATGGAGGCTTGTGTATTTGCAGAAAGGTTGTAATATGGAGGCTTGTGTATTTGCAGAAAGTATTTCCAAATTGCAGAACAAAATTTTGACTCTTCTGCAATATTGCAGAGTACTGAAAAAAAGTATTTCGACCACTGATATATATATGAATGTGTTTGAGTAAGAATTAACAGAGCAGACCATATACAGAGGTAAACATTATGCATTTGCTTTGCAAATGTTACCTTTCTAGTTTGTTTTAAGTTCTATTCCTTTTCTGTTTCTTTTGTGCTCTTGTGAGCCTTCCCAAGAGAAAATGGTGCCACAATCGTCAGTGGGGTCAAGTGTTTAGACTAATGGGTAGAGGAGATGAGAATTTCAAGCTATGCATTTTACTGTGATTGTTTGAACTTATATTCCTGGTCCTTTTCTTCAGGTTCCTTTGCCACAGCCTCCTGTACAAACTGTAAGAGAAAGGTGGACTGTGAAGAGATCAGACAGGACATCTTTGACCAGGTGAGTGCCAGTTAGCCTGCCAAGGTAAACGTTTGACACCAAATTTGTTTTGATCATGGGATAGATGGAAAAACTGAAAATTTTCAATCCTTAGCCTCCAAAGGTAGCTGTTTGGTTCCCATATTTGTATTGGTTAAAGGATGGATGAAAATCATGAAATCTTTAACCTTAGTCTCCTGTGGTAGCCTTTTGGCACCAATGGTGTTCTTTCTATGGGATTAGGCATAAGATTTGAAGATCCAATATTGCTATTGGAAACCTATCAAATGTACATCCTGACATTGTTGTCTCCATGTCCAGGTGGTGCCGCGCTGCCCACAGTGTTCGCCTGACGGTCCCATGGCCGTCATGAAGCCCGACATCGTGTTCTTTGGCGAGGGTTTGTCGGACAAGTTTCACCAGACCATCTCTGTGGACAAGGACAAAGTGGACCTGCTGATTGTGATCGGGTCCCGACTCAAAGTCCGACCTGTGGCTCTCATACCAAGTAAGTAACGCATCATGAAAGCATACACTTCATCACTGCTTGTACAAGTCACTATGAAGAAAACTTAAACTTAAAAAAAAATTGAACTTACCCAACTTTTAACTCCTGTCTTAGTCAAGCAATTAGCAATCCACTTCATCTGTGCTGTCACAGAAGTTGTGCATTGTGCAATTTTTTTGTTGTTAATTACAGTTTGAATTTTCTTCATAAGTAAGTCACGTCTTCAGGCACTGTTAGGCACTTCCGATAACATGAAACTTTAGGAAAACAGCATTTGGCATGAGAGAAAGCGGCTGTTGTCACTGCTGTAAAGGGTCGTAGTCCTTAGGACAGGGCGTTAAGCTGTGGCCCACCATTCACTGTACTTGTCGAAAAGATCTAGGAGAATATCACCAGTAAATGAACCTGTAAATACTGTACGTAGCAATCTGTCACAACCAGTAAAAGAATGGCTCTTCGTTCAGTGAGCTAAAACTAGATCAAGTTTACTTTAGTTTTCTTTCCTAAACATGTTAAGTTCCAAATGAATCAATGCCGTTTGTCCATTTTCTGCCAGGTTCCATCCCAGCTGAAGTGCCACAGGTGTTGATCAACAGGGAACCCCTCAATCACATGACGTTTGACGTTGAGCTCCTCGGAGACAGCGATGTCATCGTTGAAGAAATCTGTCGACTCCTGGGAGAAGGCTGGACCACTGATTCTGACTCAGGCACTCCGTTGAACCAGGTTTCTGAAATTCCTCCAAAGAAAGTAGCCCCAGAGGGCAGCTGCACCCCAAACTGCACACAGGGCTCATTATCTAACATGCATAGCCCAAATTTATCCACAACCAAGGAGCCAACAGAAGCAAATGTCAACCAAAGAATAGATTGTTTGCCAGCCAATCAGGAGCAACCAAAGTCTTCCCCAGCCAATCAGGATGCAGAGGTATCAGCCAATCAGGATGCAGAGGTATCAGCCAATCAGGATGCGGGGGTATCAGCCAATCAGGATGCAGAGGTATCATCTACTAGTCAGGAACAGACTTCTCCAGAGTTGAGTAGAACAGGGGACCAGGCGTCAAGTCCCAGCTCCAAGGGAGATGAGTTTGACAGAGACCCTGAGTCTGAGCACGATATGGAAGCTCTGCGTCGATGCTGGCAGAGCAAGCGTCAGCCCAAAGAAAGTGTAGCAAAGAGACTACCAGGTAGGCTTTGTGAATCTTGCATAGGCTGAATTACTTTCTGTCGACATGCTATTTTCTACTGATGTCAACAAAATAGGAGATGTTGAAATTGTCTCTAAACCTACTTTTTTCTTATCATACAGACCATTCCTACCAGTTTGTCCCTCCCAACCGCTATGTCTTCCAAGGAGCGGAGGTTTTCTCGGATTCGGAGTCAGACAACGACTCGGACTCTCTCTCGGACTATGAGCACGAGAGAGGCGACAGCGGGACCGCGGGTATCCAGTGCAGCGGCGGCTCCGATGAAGACACACAACAAACCTTCATCAGCAACACCTCATGGTTTGATGGGAGCGAGGACAGTCAGGAACGGGGTAGTGGGGAAGGAAACATGACCACTGTGGAACAAGGTAGCCGTAAAAGCACAACAGAAAATGTGACAGACAAAGGCGGTGGGGACAAAGTCTCCGAGTCCTTATAAAGATTAAACAATAGAGCAAAAATTCTGAACTTTTGGTCTCCAGTATTCCAATTTTCCTATCAGGAAAATTTCAGTAACTACTTTCCTTGAAAGCCATATTGGTTTTGAAAGGATTTCTGGGTCGGTTTTTTTTTATATATAGAAAGAGAAGGCATTGTACGTAAGTTTGACTACACCTACCAAAGGATTGTAAGTAATGTTCAGGTGCTGGTAGACTTGTCTTATTCCCTTTTGTGGAACATTTGATGCCAACTGTATCTACTTGTGGAATGTTACAGCAAGAAAGAACCATGTGTACAGACATTCAAAGAAGACAAACCTATGCTAAACATGCAATGTCAATATGAATATGTTTACATGTTTATCTGTGGTTGTAACAAGTTGTATTATAATAATATTTATTGACAAAAAATGATTATCAAAAAAGCTTCCAGATATTCTTGTGCTAAGTTATGTGCTCATGTGTAAAGAGCCACAAATTCCATATTTATTGGGGACATTGATGTCAAGGGAGATGTGTGTAGATTTATACACATGTACTTGTAATTAAAATATTCATGTAGAGTAAGAGCAACTACTTTGTGGAAATGTGAACAATGAACTAGATTGTACAGTGTTGAGTTTGAATTGCTATCACAGTATATTCTGTTTTTAGATTTTTCTACTGAGTTTACTGTATCCTGTGGTGTCCAACAACAGAATGGCTAGGCAAGCGGACACTTGATTGAGATGTCACAGGTTCGATCCCTTGCAATCCTTGCTAGACGTTGTGTCCTTGGAAAAGGCACACGTTACACTATATTCCTCAATCCACCAAGGTGTACCCGACTTTGGTTGGGGAGGTAAAATGCAGTGGAAGGAGAGGGATGGGCTCTGCCCTCCAAAACTGTGCCCTAGACACAGTGGATTAACAACCCACTGCCCCTATGGCATCAAAAAAGCTACAGGACTACCTTTACCTTAATGAGTTTAGATAGCAGCAAAAGTTTCATTATGTTCCTATCTGCCAAACTTTGTAGGATTTTGCTTGCTCTACATGAAACAAAATCACCCATTGGTGTAGAAAATAATTTATTCATATTAATAAGTAGATTTACAAATTTCATTTTTCTTCAAACTATTTTACTGTGGGTGTTAGTATACAGGTACATTGTACTTCCATGTTCACTTCAGTAAGTGTGAAAATATGTTAAACTCGGGTGTGTGAATCATGTATGTATTGATGCAGAATTGTGGATGTATGACAGGATATTGTAGCCAAATCATGTTAAATCTGTAGTTGGATTGATCTTGTACCAGAAAGTTTACAAGCATTTTTCCCTTCAGTACTTAAAACACAGTTTTTTACTTACATTAAGTAGCAGTTCGTCTACCAATTCTCTATTGGTTACATGATTAGGTAGCAAGGAAAAGGTTTGTTTTGTAACATACATGTATTTGTTTACTGATATAATACAGTATTCTAGCCAGCCTGAATTTTTGTCATCACTATTTTGTTCGACGGTATATCCTTAAATGCCATTTTCTCCATCTCATTTCATATCTTTACTTGCCTATTTTTGTTTGTCAAAGATGACAGATTGGACAAAATTCATGCCCGCCAAAAAAATTTTGTCAGAAGAATGGACACTGGCTTGAACACTGGTACTGTATGAATTTTTAGTTACTAGAGTCAATGAACATAACAATAAAAGTAAGAAAGCACACTGTGTAGAATTTCAGTCAAACTTGTCCAAAAGGGAAGGGACCAGGAATGTATTTTTGTAAGGACAGAGTTTACTACGCTTTCACTGAAATAGTTGTGTACATTGTTTTTGTATATACTATTAGCAATATCTCGAGATAGGTACTGTTGAAAAAGTAAAGGCCATCTGGATCACTGCCAAAGTCAAGAAATGGTACATAATATGAGCAGTTATAAACAGTTGTATAAGTTGTGTCTCTTTTTTTACCTACCACAATAAGTTTTGCAAAAAAGTTGTTCCACTAACTTAGACTTAAGAGCAAGTTAAAACATGTGTCAATGATAGGACGAAGCATAAGTTGTCAGAAAGTCATAAAGTGTGTTTGGTGATAGCTGAAATCCATCCTAACACAGTTGTACTTAGTAACCTCCAAGCAGATAAATTGCATGTATAAAGTGCTGCAGAAAAAAGATGTACAGAAACAAGCTGAACCATACATCTGCTTGGAGATAAAGCAGCAACAGTGAACAGAGTTTTGTACAAAAAAAACTGCAATTTCATTTTTCTGGCTCCTGTGTAGCCAAAGAAATACTAGTGAAATACTTTTCCTATCTTCCGATTATATTTTTAGTATTAGTTGTAAGTTTTGTACTCCTGCAATGCTGTCATTAGTTGTTCAAATGTACTTTGTTTTTGTTTCTTCAGATTTCTATTCTGGTGCTGAATTATTTATTGATGACTGTGAATAGAGGTAGATACATAGTGTCAAGGCATAGCTGGATAGTTTTATACTTAACTTGTGTGTGAATTATGGTACTACATGTAGTAGATTAAACATGGCTAGGTAATAAGTAAGGAAAATTCAGGTTCTTGCTGAGCTATTTTTTTCTGGTTGACTA